ATCTCGCCGCCCGGATTTATTGGGCCCATGAGCCGAAACAGAAAGACCACTAAATACGCACGGGAGAAATTGGAAATAAATCTCTTAGATAATCACCGCTATTAATTAGGCCTATTAACTAACCTGTGCATGCAATGGCTACTGCCTGATCCAATCAAGGAGACCCATGCGCTAGCTTTCCATGAAGAGACGAGGATATAAAGTGACGTGTTTAAATGCAGCAGCCTATTTTTTCGTTTTTGATACCCCCTCCGTCTAGGTGTATAAGTCATCTTACGAAAACCAAAAAAATTCAAAACACTTAGGCGCGGTGCATTAACTTCTACATCGTTTTCTTATTTCTTGACATATCGACCAATAAGAGATGTGGGTGTGCATGCTTTTAATGACATGAGACTACCGAACACGACATGCAATGGTTAGTTCATTTCATGCAATGCTATTAATTAGCAAATAAACATTAAGTTCGCTTGTTTTCCTCTCCTCCTTGGTCATGGTGCACAACCTAAGATGATTTATTCACCTAGATGGAGGGAGTATAAAGTTTGCAGCAGCCTAGTAAACATGGTAGTACAAGTTTTGGTGGCTCTCGGACCCAATAAACCCGAATGGAGGGAGTAACACCAAGGAAATTCTGTATGAATTTTTAAAAATTGAATAATGTTTCATAATCCAACATTTGTTTTTGAACAACTTGGACACATTTTGAAAAAGTCATTTTTCATAAAAGCATGAGCATTGTTCAAAAAAATTGAATAACATTTTTTACAAGCGTGAACATTTCAAAAAAATATCAGGAGATATGTTAGTTCAAAATGTTAAGAACATTTTTTCTGAGCAACATTTTGAACACTTTTAAAGAAATATGAGGAGCGTGCAAACTTGAGAACTAACATTTTGAACACTTCCTTTCTTTTTAGCTTCTTATGTGGCTAATGTTACTTTCTGAATTTTCAGAAAAAAAATCGTGTGTTTTAAAACCAGCTTTTGTTTTGTTTACTTCTAGGTTTTTTCTTCTTCTTTTTTTCAAATGCCAGAAAGTTTTAAAATAAAAAAATTCGTGAACTTTCTCATTTTTTTAACTTTTTCTCAACATTTTTGGGTGATTTTTCTGAAAACCTGCAAAAAAAATTAAATTTGTAAACATTTTTCCAACATCGATGAACTTTATTCAAATCTGCGAACTCTTGGGCCGGCCTAACAGGCGCCCGATTGGAGCGATGCCATCGCCTATCAGGGTGGTAGAAACCGAAAATTCGGTTTTTCACCATTCGTTCTTTTTAAATTTTTGGTTAGCAAACCTAAAAACTAAAAATGTTAACTCAATACAACAACTGAAGATGTCGACAAACAACATGCTCCCAGAAAGAGCCTTTTGACCTACACGAACACCTTCCGTTGAACATGATCTAGTTTTGGACATTCTTAAGACCAACACAATTTTTGCTAGTAGATGGGCATGCGCATGGTAGGCATCCATGCTAGGTTTGAACGATTCCGACACCTTATGCAAGTTGCGTGACATTTGGCCATTTATCGATCATTTTCACCTAGAAAACTCTAAAAAATGCAAGAATTGTCGAAAAGGCAAACAACTTAGGATGGTGCCTTGAATTGGTCATAAAAGCTCATGGAAAATTTTGGACTCATTTGAAGATGCCAAAAAAGTATTCTCATACGGACCCATGTGGCCTACCCGAACACCCTCCATTGAACATGGTATATTTGGACATACATGAAATGACCCCAACTTTTGCCAGCAGGTGGTCATGCCCATGGCTGGCAATCATGCTAGGTTTGAACGATTTCAGACACCCTACGCAAGTTGCGTCACGTTCGTTCATTTATTGTCCATTTTTCATCAAGAAAACTCTATTTGTTCACTTTTCTTCTCTTTTTTTTGTTAATTAATTTTCTCCTTCTTGAACTTTATCATTATTTTTTAAGTTGTTCAAAAATATGAAAATTTCTTTAGAATACCAGATTCTTTTTTCAATATAAATTTTTAAAATTGATCTAGAATTTTAAAAAAATGTCCCCGTACTCTGATATGGACCCTTCTCGCCTTCCTGAACAATCTATGTTGAATATGGTCTATTTTTCGACATGCATCAAATGAGCTAACTTTTGCCAGCAAGTGGGCATGCTCATGGTAGTCATCCATGTCAGATTTGAACGATTTTCAACACTGTATACAAGTTGTGTCACGTTCGGCTATTTATCGGCCATTTTTCACCAAGAATACTCCAGAAAATACAAATTTTTGTAGGAAACAAAAATTACTTAGCATGTTGTATTGAATTGATTATACAAGCCCATGAAAAAAACTGGGGTCATATGCCAGTTGTCTATAAACAACATGCCCACAAACGAAGCCTTCTGGCTTACCCGGACACCCTTCGTTGAACATGATGTTTTTGCACATGCATGAAATAACTTCAACTTTTTCCATCAGGCCGGCATGCACATGATATGAGTCCATGCCAAGTTTGAATGGTTTCTGACGTCATATGCAAGTTGCGTCATGTCCGTCTATTTATTGGCCATTTTTCGCTGAAAAACTCTAATAATATTCATGTTTTACCAAAATGTTTGGAAATTTTAAAAAATGTTGAAGTTTTTTTTAAAAAAAATTGTTTGCAGTTTCCCAAAATGTCCGAGTTTTTTAAGAAATCTTAAAAAAGCTCATGTTTTCATATTTTTTTCATAAATTCCAAAAATGTACAAGAATTTCAGAAAAGGTTATAGTTTTCTGAAAACTGTTCAAAATGTTGCTGTTTTCAAATTTTCTCAAAACTCAAAAAAGTTTGGGAATTACTTAAAATGTTCGCGCTTTTGAAAAATTGTTCAGAATTTCCAGAATGTTCCCATTAACAAGTTTTGTTCTCTAAATTCCAAAAAAAATTAGCGTTTTTATAAAAATATTTCAGATTTTAAAAATGGTTCCTATAAAAGGCAAGTTTTTCATTTTATTTTGAATTTTCTATGTTTGTTAGAGTTGTTTAAACAACTGTTGGATTTCCAAACATTACTCGCTTTAAAAAAATTATTCACAATTTCTAAGAAAAGAAAAAAAAACAAAAACTGCTCGGATTCTGCGTTGTAGTTAGTTCTTAAAGCGGCACGCTCTTTATTAGCCACTAATGTCTCGCAGGTTGACTGGTAATTATCTTGTCTCTCTAAGGTAGAGGTGCAGAGTTCGATTATGTGCGATGTAGTTCTTAGTAACCTTTTTAGCGATCATATCGCCTGCCGTAGGTGCGAGCGACCTTCTTGGGCCGGCCCAGTCGGGGGTTATGCAGAGCGTATCGTTTCTATTCGCTCCGTTCGGAATTACTCGTCTTAAAAATGGATACATCTAAAACTAAAATACGTCTAGATACATCAATTTCTGCGACAAGGATTTGTCTAGATACGGATGTATGTAGACTCATTTTAGTGCTAGATACATCCGTATCTAGACAAATCTAAGACAACTAATTCGGAACGGAGGGAGTAGCAGGCAACATATCACACTGCCGCAAAAAAGGTCAACGTATCATACGTATAATGTGGGTACACCATGTCAAAATTCCATATTACCCTTTTTATACTAATTTGCGTGAGGAGTTGTACCGAAGTAGGACTCTTATAAGTTTTCTTTTTCATCCATCATCTATCTAAAAAGGGGAACCAAGTTGTCCGAAAAAATCCTTGAAAACCAAGTTCCTGTATGAAAAGGCCGAGATCTTGCATCATCATCACAGGTCATCAGACGGGACAGAATTTCGGAAGCCCACAAGTCGTAGTGCATCTCCTCGGCCGCTCCCACCGCAGCGCCGCCTCCGTTGCCACTTGGTACCAATGTCGCGCGCCGCCATCTTGCCGTCCCGCATATGGTTCCCACCGCCGCTGCTGGCTCCCTCCCCTTCCTTCCCCAAAACGAAGCACCGCCGGATCCTTCTTTACCAGCGGATCGAAGCCCTGGATCCAGCACCAGCCGTGTCCGCGACCGGAGGAGATGAATGCCTAAGGTAAAAACTGGGTGCTCCGACCTTTATTCCTTCTTGTTCTAAAATAAATAAAAATTGTACCTTGCTTCCAGCAGGATGGGTTCTCTTTCAAAGGTTCTGCAGAAACAAAAGCGAAAGCAAAAGCAAAAGAGGAATCATCCAAAGCGCAAGCGGATTACCCAACAAATTATATATATGTGTAAAGCTAGTGCCTTTTTTTTTCCTTCAAAAAGAAGCAACAGGGAGGCTTATGGACTGGGCAAGGGACCAGATACCTCCCCAGATGACCAAGTTGCTTATCAACCAAAGCATCCAAATTTGAAGTATTCTCCATCTTTGTCTGACCGCTACGTGGGAGTAAGCCTCGCTCGTCTCGTCTCTTCTTCTGTTAATTTTAAGGTGAATCTCTCTTACCCGTTTAAGTTCTACCTCTACTACAAATTATGTGCTCTACAAAAGAGCAAATTGTGTTACCTTTGTCTTGTATATAAAAAATATGCTAGTACGCCGTAAAAAAATGCTAGTAGAGTATTTTGTGCATCTATAACATAGAATTGTACAGCATATTTCGGTGAAGCATTAATTGTAGGAAAATTACTAGTCAAGCACGTCAGTCAGCACAAGTGACTGACATGATTAGTTCTATTGTTACTATGGAATATGTGGTACATATATCATGTCTACATCTGGATGGTGTAGATATAGGAAAACATATAAACCAGGAACTATGTACACCAGCAATTAATTAACTGTTACCATATTTTCCCACTAGTTAATTAGTTCTAAATAGATTTCCTAGCGGCCAGCATGGTAGAAAATTGTATATGCATGTACATTCCATTAGTATATCATGTATATGGGCAATTTTAGTAGTTTGATTTGACTGCCATGTTGGTTGTAATATTGTCTCCGTGGTTGCTTGTGTACTTCTTTTGAAGGAAATATATGTATGTACTTCAACTAATTTGTCTGTAATATGATGATTCTCGTGGCATTCAGTGGTCACTGATGGCTGGACTGGTGCGCCTATGGAATGGTTGGGGGCTCCAAATCCTAGTGCTTGTTAGCTTCATGCTGCAAGTGTTCCTGCTCATATTCGCTAGGATGCGACGGTGGAACATCTCCATCGTCCCAAGGACCGTCCTCTGGCTAGCATACCTGCTAGCAGACTACATAGCTGTATTCATCCTCGGCCACATGTCCTTCTGTGGCAAGTCCCACGGGCACCAACAACTCATGGCATTTTGGGCGCCGTTCTTGCTGGTGCATCTCGGTGGCCAGGACAACATCACTGCCTACTCCATAGAAGACAACCAGCTCTGGCCGCGCCACCTGCTGTCTTTTGTCATGCAGACGGTGGGAGTGGCTTATGTCCTTTACAAGTATGTCGCTGGCAGCTGGACCTTGGTCACAGCCTCAGTGCTGATATTTGTCAGCGGTGTTCTCAAGTATGGGGAGAGAGTATGGGCTCTCAAGTCCTCCAGCCTGGACAACATGAGTAAGTTCATCGACAGCAGGAAGTTGAGTGAGGCTAAACGAGAACCGCGTGCACATTGGGGCCAAGGGGAGACGTTAGATCCTGAAGAGGTTCTGGAAGGAGCTCATGACCTACTCCCCATTTGCATGGCTCAGTTGGTGGACTATAAGTTCTGGCCATCCACATTGCAGAGTAAAGCCATAGAGCTATTCGATAACAAGGACCAAATGTTTGAGTTGGTTGAGATGCAGCTCTCCTTGATGTATGATTTCTTATATACCAAGGCAACCGTGGTCTTCACATGGTATGGATTCTTCATCCGTGCCATTTCATCGATCACCACCATCACCGCTTTCTTCCTCTTCCAATCAAGCATTGGCAAAAATGACTTCAACAGAGTTGATGCCATTGTCACGTACATCTTAATAGCTGGGGCTGCCCTCCTAGAGATGATAGCATTGTTGAGGGCAATGGGATCAACATGGACATGCGCATTGTTGCGTGCTAGAAGATGGCATCGGCTTCATAGTATAGTCATATATGTCCGACAGCGTGTCAAGGCTGCGGAAAGAAATAGAAGATGGTCAGGTTTCATCGGACAACCCGAGTTGTTGAACTTGTCCCATGGCAGTGGAGGCTGCGTGTCTGCGCAGTGCTTGCGATGCAAAGATTTGTGGAAGAAGATGCACCACTCCTTACCTGTTATTTCAGATGGTACTAAGAAGTTGGTGTTGGAAGAGGTATGTAGAATGGTGGGGACATGTAGAGGCAATGAGGATATCATGAGGAGTTACAGTGGTCAGTGCGTGCTGAGTCCATGGCACAGTTTCTTCGAGGATCCCACCTCGCGCGTTGGCATTGATTTTGATGACAAAATCCTTTCCTGGTACTTTGCCACCAAAATGTTCTTGTCAAGGCGATCTCGTGTGGAAGAGCAAGATTATCTTGTGGAGGCAATTAGGGAAGTCTCTAAATATATGATATTCCTCCTTGTTGAACGCCCCTACATGCTGCCTAGCCCTGTTCGCCCTGGATTGTATGCCAATAATAAAGCAGCATACGCGAGGCTTGATTTTTCTGACGTGAAATGCATCAGCAGAAGGGGGAAGCTGGACAGCAGAAGAAGAATATGGGATTTGGACACAAGAAGGGACGGGGACGAGCTGGACAGAGCAAGGGGAAAGTTGGATATACTAAGGGAGGAGCTGGATATACTAAGGGAGGAGCTGGACAAGCAGAACAAAAAGCAGTACACACCACAGCGTCTCATCAGAACTGAAAGGGAGATGCTAGACAAAATAAGTTTGGAGGTTGAAGAAATAAGTTTGGAGGTTGACGGTTCAAGGGAGAACCTGGAGGAGCTGAACAGAATAATGAAAAAGCTGGAGGAGCTGGATAGAAGAACCGAGCATCGCCGTCGTAAACCTTCACCTCCACCTGCCTTAGCCCGTGTAGCGGAGCTTGCTGTTGGGCTTCTAAAGGCGGAGGAACGAGGTGAGACGGAGGTGCTGCGAGTGGTACTTGGCGTGTGGGTGGAGATCCTGTGCTATGCAGCCCACCACTGTAGCAGGGATTCCCATGCCAGGCAGCTCAACAGTGGCGGTGAGTTCATTACCATTGTCTGGCTTCTGTCCACTGTCATGTTCAATCGCTCCTACTGTGACCAGCCCTGGTTTAAGAAGGGCATGTCTGAATTCTTCAGGTTACCATTCTATTCCGAGGACAAGTGTGGATGGTTTCGGGATAGCTGCAGATGGTTCCGCGGATACTGCATATGGTTCTGTGGGTGCGATGGTCGGACATTCTCCAGCCGAAGCCATCTTCGATGCCGTATTTTTAGATGCTAAGGGATTTTTGACATCCGAACACAGTCCAATCCGAATCAGAGTCCGATTGATATGATCCAATCGAATATATAGGGGCAAAGTTTTAAGTATTAACTAGCAATACGTGAATGCTATCTTTTCTTACGAGACAAGACATATGCTTGTTAGTGATTTATTTGGTTTATTTTAGTATCTTCTATTGTTTTATGTGTGCTTAAAGTGTATAAGTATTAATACTTGCTCATTCTTTGTGTATAATTTGAGTTTAAAGCATTTATATATTCCTCATAAATGCATGTGGTATATGACCGTTTTCGATCGGAGTCCGTTCCTTACCATACCATGTCCAAATCCGGCATAATCCGGTATTTGAATCCGCATCTGCCCCGCTTATGATTCTGAAAATAAATATGAAATAGGATATGGTATGACCATTATCCGTTCGAATCCGGTTCGGTTTCACCCTTGGTATGGATGGATCCGCTAGGTACTTCTTTGATCCGTTATCCCCACTCAGTGGGAGGGAGTGGTTCAGGTTTGAGGAGGGCCAAATTCAATGTATTGTGTAGTAACCACTGTTTTGGTTACCGAACGAGATCGCCCGGTTACCGACCCCCTCGAGAAACACTCATACCGGGCAAACAAATCTTGAAAAATTTAAATTTTTTGAATTCGAACGCTCAAAGTGTAGTTAAATAAATGCCATCTCTTTTACCAAATATATCGTGGCCTAGTGGCAAATCCACCCTTTCATCAACAGCGCGTCGCCGGTTCGAGTCTTGTCTCACGCTTTTAATTTCTTTTTCATATATGCAAAAGTTAAAAATGCTGGCTAATTGTTGGAGCGGCCAGGGGTCTGGTATGGATGGATTCGCTGGGTACGTTTTTGATCCGGTGTCCCCACTCAGTGGGAGGGAGTGGTTCAGGTTTGAGGAGGGCCAAATTCAATGTATTGTGTAGTAACCACTGTTTTGGTTACCGAACGAAATTTCACAATCTCGCCCGGTTACTGACCCCCTCAAGAAACACTCGTACCGGGCAAAAAATCTTGAAAAATTGAAAATTTTGAATTCGAACGTTCAAAGTGTAGTTAAATACAGGCCATCTTTTCTACCAAACATATCGTGGCCTAGTGGCAAAGCCACCGTAGTTAAATACAGGCCATCTTTTCTACCAAACATATCGTGGCCTAGTGGCAAAACCACCCTTTCATCAACAGCACGTCGCCTGTTCAAAAGTTAAAAATGTTGGCTAACAGTTGTAGCGGCCATGGGTCGAACTCGAGACCGTTTACGAAGCGGCAGTTCGTGTTGACCATCCACTACGCTAAGGCCTGGTATGTGATAGTTATGGAGTTAAAACATATCAATATTGAGTTCCAAAAATTTGAATTCAAGATTTGGTTTTAAATTTCGTTCGAAATTTTTCTGGTATTTCGTGGTTACCATGGTAACCGGAAATTCCGGTGCCCCTCGAGAAAAAATGTTCACTCGGGATCCAAAACCTTGGTAGTAACTTTATATGCAAAAAGCATATTTTCACGAGCCTTTGATGACTGCAGTATGTGCTTCCATTATAGCAATTTGTGATATTCTTACCTCTCACTCTTTTTTAGAAAAGGAGGATGGCCTCCGGCCTCTACATCGGGACGATGCATACAGACATTTTATTAATTATTCACAAAGACCTTACAAATTAATAAATCAATAAGTTTGAAGTCATCATCTTAGCAACATCTGCCACTACTCCTATCCAGTAGATTAAGGGGTGCCGAAAGTTCGAGCCAAATACCAACCAGACCTCGCACCAACGCCTGACATCTAAAGCTGGAGGCCCCAACCAAGCCTCATACCTGGTCTGGGGCACACACCGGTCCGACGAACTCTCAGAAGTCGTCGCCGCCGTCTTCCACCGATCCATCTTCAATGCCTGCCAGGCCTGTGTCGACGCCCCCACGACACCAGACATCGCCCCGTCCTGCACGAGTCCATCAACTCACATCCATCACCGAGACCCTGTTGCACCACGCCGCCGAGACTTGATAACCCACAAGTATATGGGATCGCAACAGTTTTTGAGGGTAGAGTCACTAGTACAAAACAGGGCTTTGGTTGAGGCCCGGGTAAGGGCTTTAATCCCAGTTCACTCACTAACCGAGACCAAAGGGGGCATCAGTCCCGGTTCGTGAGGCCAGGGTGCCGGCCGGGCCTCGGGGGCCATTGGTCCCGGTTTGTCTGACACTTTTGGTCTCGGTTCCAGACACGAACCGGGACCAATGGGCCTCGCTCTTGGGCCAACACCTTTAGTCCCGGTTGGTCGCTGGAATCGGGACCAAAGGTTGTCCTTTAGTCCCGGTTTTAGCCACAAACTGGGACTAAAGAGAAGCCTATATATACCCCCTCCCCTGCCCGCGAACAGAGCCACTGCTCTGTTTTTTCTGGCCGGCCACTGAATGAATTAAGGCCTAGCACTACACAAAGTCGTAATTTTTATCAAGGAAAAGTCGGAGCACAAATTGTACCTGGGGCTAGGGCACGGGAACATGTCGAGGAAGCAGCGCTGAGGTTGGGGCATGGAGGTGCCCAGAACGTTGTCAATGTCCGGGGCTCGGCTGGACCCCCGTCGTCGTATGGGCACCTCCTCCTCGCCCGCGCGGCGTCGGCGGGCGGGAGGCGGAGGCCTCGCGGGAGGGAGTCGTCGCTTGTGTCGTGAGGAGTTACCGGGTTGGGGCGGGAGAGGAGTGGGGGCTCCCATTTGGCTCGCGCGCTCACTCGCCGCAGCCGCGTGGTGGGGGCTGAGCCGGAGAAATGCCGGAGTGCGGCGACGAAGGGGGCGCGAGGAAGAAGAAGAAAAAGAAGAGGGGTAAAGTGGTAAATATTTGTTACTCTCGAGTTAGTTTTTTTTAGGGGACTCTTGAGTTAGTTAACTGTGGAAAATAGGATGATGGTCAGTCAAAATACATTTGATATTACTCTACGAAGCATTTTTAATGCTCATTGTCATAAGAAAAAAATCTTGATGGAAGAATGTTGTGACAGTGCAATGATGAAAGTTTATGTCAATGTCTACATGTTGCATGAAAAAGATGATCAGCAAAAGAGGATTATAGCTTATGTTATTATCTAGCCCCAAACTCATTTCCTATGCATATCCTTATTTTCTTTTAAAACCGATTACTAATGCAGGATGCACCATTAAGACACCTCCTTATAACATTAGCCATCAGCAGGTGCTTAATAAAACAAACCAGTTTCTTTAAGCATTGGTGTTTATCTTTATAAGAGGGATACCTAAATAAGTGCCTGTTATGTACAAATAAGCATACTTAAGAACAAAAAATGATTAATTTCTCTAAGCGCATCTCTAAACACCTCGCATTATTGTACAAAGGCCTAAGAGGTGATAAACTAATAATTGCCAACAAATGGCGAAGTTTATTGGAGAACTTAACATGTTAATTCATGGAAAAGAAAAACCTTTATATAGGGATTGACTACTCGTCACCCTGGGTGAGGAATAGTTATTCTTCACCCCCCTCCCCTTAATTTACCAGCAATGCACCGTAATTTTACGTTCCGTAAGTTTTGTCTTATTTCCGACGTAAAAAGAGACCGTAAGAAAATATATAATTGTTTTCCGCGCGGGGGGCGGCAGGAGATTGCGGGTGGCCATCGTTTTGAGGTGGGGAGGGGAGGAAGGGGAGTTTCTCCTTCGCGCGGCTGCTTCTCATCCCCGAGCGACGAGCAGGCTGCCGAAGCCGCTGACCGGAGAGGAGAGGAGAGGAGAGGATTTGGGAGGAAGAAGGGTGGGGGTAAAGTGGTCATTTTCATAGATATCTACTTACTCCTGTTTATTTATAAAATATTAGTATAAAAGAAAAGCAAAAAATCCCTATCATTAAACAAGCAACATACCATGCTGACTCTTTATTTTATCTTCTACTCCCTCCATTCAATATGAATGACATACGGACTAAAATGAGTAAACAAACACACTAAAACATGGATATGTACATTCAATTCCGAGAAAAAGTTAGTAAAAGACCTTATATTTGTGAATAGAGGGAGTATAGATTTATGGAAATGATAAGTACCTGCACATGGCTAAAAGGATGTTTTTTATGACAATTTTAGTGACGCGAGGATGGCAATTTTGACAAGTACGGCAATTTTCAGGCAAAAAATAAAAACTAAGGCGGATTTGCCATGCTTTCCCATAAACTTGCCATCCTCGGAAAATATAAATTATCACAAAAAACATTCATTTTTCCATGTGCACGTACCTAACGTTCGGTAGTTATCGGGGTCCTAAAATTATTGTTGCCGTCAACCTTCTTATAATTATAAGTACGTCACATGAATTCTTGCTTTGAAGAAGAGAGACTATGAGGTGGTTTGGAGCATGCAAAAAAACATGATTATTCATGTACAGAATTTCACAAATCTTTTATCTATGAGCATTCATAAAAAACATCATGTTTCCTGATTCTTCAAAAATGTTTCTGAACTTTTTTACTCTCTTCGTTCTATATTAGTTGTCGCTGATTTAGTACAACTTTTTTTTCGGTCTGTCCTTTCTTTGTCTCCCTTTCTTTTCATTTTTTCAAATATTTTATCACATTTTTTGCAACCTTTCATGATTTCTGAAAATGGATGTTCCATTTTCAAAATACATTTTCCTTTTCCCCATAATTCCTATTTTCTCTCCTTTTTATTGCTTTCGGTCTGATTAATAATACAGTAACACTTCATCTATCAAACCTCTTTGAGGCGGGTATAGGCAAGGGGGCAAATTTAGCTGGTTTTGAAAATTGAGTGTCAACTTTGTCTCATTTTTTCATGGACCAAAAGTTGACCAAAAAATAATGCTTTGCTTTATTAAGCTGGGCATAAGAATTTATGGGAGGAAAACACATTCATATATACAGTACCCTTAACAAAGTTAGCTAGTACAAGAATTTCGCCATACACACGGCTCAAGGTCAAAATAAAAATAATTCAACAAATATACAACAAAAAACAATTGATTCTTTTTGTAGCCAATTATTGCCACTGCAAATCATATCTTTGTGCTCAAGCCTCAAAGTTTCTTCCAGTTTGTCAAATAGACAGGGTACTATGAAGAATGAACTTTACTTGTTACTACGTTCTTAATAATAAAGAATCAGCATGCTCTAACAGAGCAGAAATATCCATCAATCGTCATCACGGTGTTCCAGAAAAGCGTCTCTAATAGCAGAAAGTTTTGCACAAACATCTTTCATTCCAGGTCGGTCCTTCGGAGATTCCATGGTACATGACAGCCCAAGAGCAACCAGGGGGACAATATATCTCTGCCCCCATACTTCTGCACAGCCTTGATGTTCCTCATGTCCCATACAAGGATCTAGAATTTCCGCGACTCTTTCAGGGAACATGGATTCAGAGAAAATGGAAAGGGTAAGTCCATCAACAAACATATCATTGGTTGGTCGTTTTCCGGTAAGCAACTCCAGCAGAAGCACTCCAAAACTATATGCATCAGCTCCTACGGAGATCTCGTAACCCATCCCGTACTCTGCGAAGAAGCAATGCTTTAGAATAATGCACATACATTAAAGACAAAGCATAATTACGTGGAAATGGAAAAGCAAAACTCACCGGGTGCCATGTATCCAACTGTTCCTCCAACATCATCCAGGCTTTCAGGAATAAACATATCGGGTGACAAAAACTTTGCTGAGCCAAAATCACCGAGCCGCGCGGTCATGTCATCGTCCAAAAGGATATTCTCTAGCTTCAAATCACAATGGATCAGAGGAGGCGTCAGTTGGTTGTGGACATAATCAAGAGCAGAAGCCACATCTGCCGCTATGCATATCCTCTGGCCAAAGTTTAGCACTCTGCCTGGGATTCCATTGTGTTGCTCAGTATGTAACCATCTGTCAAGGCTGCCATTAACCATGAACTTGAATATCAGCGCTTTGAACTCATGATTTTGTGAATCAAGTGTCGAGCATACGGTCACAGGACACATTATATTTCTATGGCGGGTGTTTCGTAGCACTTCACACTCAATAAAGTAACTATCACATCTGCTAGGTTCACTCAAGTTGAATACTTTGATGGCAACCAATCTCCTATCGAACTTGAAGCTACCAACATAAACTGACCCAGTACAGGTTGAGCTGATAGTATGAAGCGAAGAAAACCAGTTGGTAGCTTTAAGAATGTCCTGATATGACACCCTCTTCAGCTTCTTCTCATCATTGAACGGAACTGTATGCATTTCTCTTCTCTTCTGTTGGGCAAAAAAACAAAACATCTTCTTGGACGCAACAGCCAATTGTAAAAATGAGAATACCACGCTCTTCCAAAGGGTGGGTAGAAACCATAGCAAGACTAGGAAAGCAATAGTAAGTGGTGGCAGTACAATTAGCAGCAAGGTTGCCAGCAAGGACAGATGATGCTTTGTTTTATTTGCTGAAGCTGAGAGGCCAGGGCAAATTGGTAATGCCAGCCTGGAGGAATTCGAACAGAGTCCCTTGTTATCATCCAAAAGTACCGCGGTAGAATTCTCAAAGATCCAACCTGTAGGAACATCCCCTTCCAAGTTGTTGTAAGATAAATCAAGTTGCTCCAGCATATGAAGGTGCTCAAAGAATTCAGGCACGACACCGGATAAGTCATTGTGAGAAAGATTAATCTGCACAGTTGATACTAACTGCCATCTTGCTGGAATTTGTCCATGAAACTTGTTTACTTCCATGTGAAGGGATGTTGGACCAGCACCGGCACCAACTGTACCAAGTTCCAGTGGCAGTTCCCCAGTGAGATTGTTGTGTGAGAAGTCCAGACCGAGGGAGAATGGAGGGCTAGCAAAGAGTTCGACTGGTATTGACCCATCAAGGTTGTTTCGAGACAAATTTAGTTCAAGAAGTCCCTTGCACTGACCTAAACTACCAGTTATGTTTCCACTCAAGTTGTTACTATCAAGATAAAGCTTGCCCAGTTGAGTAATGTCACAAACTGAGGGAGGGATCTGACCCGATAATTTGTTCTTTGATAGATTTAGGATATATAGGTTTTGTAACTTTCCAATGGTAGAAGGTATGCTCCCAGAAAGCAAATTGTTTTCCATCCTAAGTGAAGTGAGATTAACAAGATTGCTAATTTCAACAGGTATGGAGCCTGAAATTTGGTTTGACCCAAGCGACAAATCTTGTAGCCTTGTGGAAATATTAACAACTGCTACAGGTAAGCTGCCATTCAGAGCATTCCCTTCCAAGGACAACTTTGTCAGCTTGTGAAATGTTTCTCCCCAGGCCTTGATGGCCGAATTTCGGTCATTTTCAAAATTTCTGACCAAAATTTATTTTTACGCCGGAAAGTATATTTTGCCCCAGGCCGAGATGGCTGAAATTCGGCTGAGATCCATTTTTCTCGGCCGAAATTCAAAACATAAGGTGAAGCTCAACGATGGAGTGGTTGCCTTCGATTAAGCTATAAGATTGCACACTCCAGAGGGTTTTCGCGGGGTGAAGTCTTCCGCTTTGTTGTTGCAGTTTGCAGGGGTGAAGTCTTCCGGGAAACTCCCCGGAAGGTGAAGGGGACACGCTTGAGTTTGATGACGGCTTATCATGAGCTCATAGAAACCACAAAGTATGTCCTTTTCACTGTGGTTGCATTTCACTGAAATGGAAGCGGAGGAGCCTATTTATTTCTAGAAAAAACGCTTTAAGAATTTGGGATGAAACCTGAAAAAAAAGTATTAAGCAAGATGACTAACCTGGAGGAAGAACAAAGGAGATCAATCGAGTTGTTTGCTCTTCCGTGATGTGGATCTTATCGCATCCAGCAGCAGCAACCTGGCTTCAGATCCGGCTGGAGGGCAGGTAGGCGCCTCGTATTGCTAAGCAAGCTACATTGTCCTGACCCTTACCAATAAAACATGCTCCAGTTGACACCTTGTCAATAAGAAATGGGCTCTATCACAGTGGAGGACACAAGTGATGCCGACATGTCGCCAATCAGGCAAGCTCTAGTAAAATAGGTTGATCGCAAGAAAATAAAGGTGACCCTCAGAAGAGAAATGCTGCACTTACACGCTTATTCTTACTGATTGACATCACCGACCGAGCTGTGAAACCTTGATTGGAAATCTGGAGGGGGGTGGACCCACACCGGAAAATCAAGGGGAGAAAGAGATTGGTGGAGAGTAGTTTGTTTTTCCGATTGCATGCGGTTGTGTTACAAACAACTGATCATTATCTCAACCAATATAAAACACGGGATACTTCCGGCCTCAATTTTCATAGGATTCCCACTTATGGAGCATCTTTTCAAACAATGATGCGGCATATGAAAAGTGCTAAAACAGATAAAAACTGAGTCGATCCATAATAGTACTCGTGGAGCACACACAGGTCGTCATACTTTATACTCCTAATTTAAAGCAACAAGCACTAGGCAAGCCACCAACCGCACCAACACAAGGGGCGGGCAACACTCCCGCGGTCCCGCCACTGCTGACAAGTTAGAAGTGGCGGGAGGTCAATGATAGGCGCCCCTGACAGCGACATCCGTCCCCGATGGACCTTTAGCATCCGCCACCTCTGGGCATTCCTGCAGTAATGCATATAGCTTAGAAAGATGTGTTTGTGAAGCAACTTCAACACATTAATACATTACGAACAAGTTTTTACAAATTAAAGCATATACGCAAATAAGATATCGTTATCTTACATACCTTAATATTGGTTATGTGTTGTAAATCTTTCTTGTGACCGATGACCAGCTCGCTCGTAAACAAGAGTTTCACTCGATAAATGAACTAGAAAGAAGATGAACACTTGTGTAATCAATTATAAAATAGCAGATGTGTACGAGTTTGGAAACAAAATTTCCCAAGAAATTTGTAATGCATGTCAAATCCAGAGATTTTTTAGAGTGCCTAAGAGAATAAAGGCAGTAGGCTCTGCTAAGCTTTGGTACAATGACAATCAAGATCCAATGTTCGCTACAAGAAGAGATAACTTCATCCGACATGCAGACAAGTAATGTAAACGTGTCATGAACTTATTATTCAAAGTATGAAAGTAAAACAAAAATCTGCAAATTGTTGCTTATGAAGCGCACTGACGACATGTTGAAAGGATTCGCCGTAATTGAATTGAGTAAAATTCGCCGAGATCTGAAGTGGGTTGAAGAAACCCACCATTTTTGTCTTTGCTTTGGCCTGATGAAGCGTTAGCATGAGAGAGAAAAAATCACTCGTCATTTATCATTTAGAGGCATCTTAACAAAAAATAGTAAGCAATATACTTATAAAAAACAAATCATCCCAGAAAAGTCTAATCAAGAGGTCTAAAGCAAGTGTGGTGTCTGTTGCCGAGTTGTATGCCATAAGTTATACGGTCATTGCTTTATCTATAAAGCAGGGTGCGTGTCTTTTTAGGTAAGTGCGCTGCTGTCGCGCCATCGGGACTTGGTCTGCTACACCGTGTGTTGTTCTTGCTGTGTGGTTTGGGAACAAATCAGTCTTGCAAGTGCGCGTCCCAGCCACACCGTGTATCCAACAGCCACTAGAGCATGTCCATCCAGCGAGGGGGCTCCGTCACGCGCACGCATGTTGTCCGCGTGGACGTGCGACATTCGGGCGTGTCCAAGCGGTGTTGCACGCGATCTTTTCAACGAAATGTCTGAAGTAGAGAGGACATTTATAGGTTTCAAATGGACACGCCCGGTAACTGCCTCAACACGTCTGTGAACGTACAAGGGGCCGAATTAGTCTGGTTGTATATGCTCTTAGACAGCGAGAGAAGAAAGGCAGTGGTAAATTAGACACACTCACGCGCGTGCGAGAGACCAAACAGTAGAGAGCAAAGAGCAGACAAGCCAAGCCACACCAACCCCGGTGCCACTGCCACGGTTTAGCTAAGTTATAAGCTAACATCATGGCTTCCCTGCAGCTGCAAGCTGTCGGTGTCATCATGGCTTTGGTGGCTGGCGCCGGTGCCGCGCAGAGCTTCGAGTTCCACGAGGCCACCGTCGATGCCATCCAGCTCGGCTTCAGCAACGGGACTCTGACCTCGACGGCGCTGGTCCAGTTCTACCTGGACCAGATCGGCCGGCTCAACCCACTGCTGCACGCCGTCATCGAGGTCAACCCGGACGCGCTCCCGCAGGCCAAGCATGCCGACGCCGAGCGCCGCCACGGCACGGCCACAGGCGCGCTGCACGGGGTCCCTATCCTGCTCAAGGACAACATCGCTATCCAGGACGCGCTCAACACTACGGCGGGCTCCCTCGCTCTCCTCGGCTCTGTGGTGAAGCGTGACGCCGGCGTGGTGGCTCGGCTCCGGCGCGCAGGCGCCGTGGTGCTCGGCAAGGCCAGCCTGTCCGAGTGGGCTAATTTCCGCCCAGTCGACAACGGGTGGAGCGCCCGGGGCGGTCAGGCCCGGAACCCGTACGTCCTGTCGTCCACCCCGTGCGGCTCGAGTGCCGGCTCAGGCGTGGCCGCGGCGGCGAACATGGCGGCCGTGACGCTGGGCACCGAGACTGACGGCTCCATACTCTGCCCGTCGTCGTTCAACTCCGTGGTTGGCATCAAGCCCACCCTCGGTCTCACCAGCCGCGCCGGCGTCGTCCCCATCACCCCGTTGCAGGACACCGTCGGGTGGGTAACTCTCCTTCTCCCCTGAGTCTTCTTCTTGCTGTTGTTTCATTCTATCTGAAAATCTTGATGCCGCTCCATGGAAAAATAAAATAAAATGCAGACCGATGTGCCGGACGGTGTCGGACGCGGTGCACGTGCTGGACACCATCGTCGGCTACGACGAGCACGACGCCGCGGCCACCGGAGCGGCATCAAAGTACATCCCCGATGGCGGGTACACGCAGTTCCTGAAGAAAGATGGGCTGAGGGGCAAGAGGATCGGCGTCCCCAATGGCTTCTTCCAGAGATATGGGCAGACGCAGCTGAATGTGTACAAGCAGCACCTCGCCACAATGAGGTTCGTAGTGAGTTGTTACATTTCACTGTCGATCGATGAATATGACAGGCAGCTGACAGTTTGAATATAAATATATGAATTGGTTCTTGATTTTTCCAAAGGGAACTCGGAGCGGTTGTGGTGGAGAAGCTGGACGTCGCTGCCAATTTGACGGCTCTATTGGATGAGATTGGGTCTAACGAGGGGATGGTGATGCAGGCAGAATTCAAGCTCAGCATAAACGCCTACTTGGCAGACTTGGTCCACTCCCCGGTCCATTCTCTTGCAGACATCATAGCATTCAACAAGGCGCATCCTGTGGAGGTTAGTGGTATAGGTTCAGACAATATATATAAGAACTAGACCAGTCAAGAATTTCTCAACATTTCTATTGATTCCTGTTGCAGTGATCATGAAGCAATAAAACTAGAAAAAAAAAAGGTAGAAACACATGGCAGTTAATGGAACTTACTCTTTATGTACGCTGTTCGAAAACTTGTGTACATGTTGGTGCAGGAGAGGCTGAAAGATTTCGGGCAGCCCGACCTAATCGCTGCCCAAAGCACAAATGGCATTGGCCCCGTGGAGAGAGCCGCGATCCAGCGTCTGAATGAGTTGAACGCGAATGGGCTGGAGAAGATGATGAAGGAGCACCAGCTTGACGCGATCGTGGCGCCTAACAGCGCTATATCTAGCCTTCTTGCCATTGGTGGCCACCCTGGCATCATTGTGCCGGCTGGTTACGACAAGAAGGGGGTCCCCTTCGGGATATGTTTCGGTGGGCTGCAGGGGTACGAGCCGAGGCTGATCGAGATGGCCTATGCTTTCGAGCAGGCTACCAAAGTTAGGAGGCAACCCATGTTCAAGCCCTAGCTAAATATAACTTCTTGAGTAGTGACAAAGTAACGTACTCTACGACCCTAAATAGGTTCCACTTACACTTTTATGTCTTCTTGTAAAAGAATAAATCTGGATGTATTATTTTTTGGTCCAGCAAGTAACTCTGCGTAAACTAGCAACGTGACACTAAAGGTGAAGCAACAAGAATCATCTACAGGTAGACAATAGAGTACTCCAGCCAACGTTACAGCAAAGGAAAGCATCCTTACTCTTCTCTAGGAGCAGCACCCTCCACTGGGGACAATAAAGCAATTGATTTAACTAAGGCCTCCTTTTGTCATAGGGTAGAAAAAATACATAGAAATAGGAAACTTATATGAAATGAGATGACATGCATCTCAAATCCTATGAATAGGAAAGAGGTGTTCCTTGGTTTACATCGTAGGAACTTTTTTCATCGAGTCTAGTCTAATGTTTATTTTTCTATAAAATGTGGAGGATAGGAAGAACTCCTCCGTAGGAGTATGATTCAAATCCTACAAACGAAAGGACAGTAAAGGGTTTTTCCTATGAAAATCCTATCCTGCAAAATTCCTTCAAACTAAAGGAGGCCTAAAGCTGTAGACTTCTCCGGCTTAACCTAACGATATTGCATGGATATTTCCTCTCACACCAGCACTCGTTTGATTCTTCATTTTTTTCATTTTGATGAAAGGGGGATCAGCTCCCAGTTTCATTTGATTTGAAATTGATAAGCCAACCTGATCCAACATCAGTTCAAGGGAGACTCTGCCAACTCTACCTGCTTATT